TCACAGCTCATAGCAACCTCAAACTCTTGGGCTCAAGCCATTCTTTTGTCTTAGCCTTTCAAGTAGCTGGGACTACGAGTGACCACCAAAATGCCCGGTTATTTTTAGAGATGGGGGTCTCACTCTTGCTCAGGCTGGTCTCGAACCTGTGAGCTCAGACAATCCACCTGCATCAGCCTCCCAAAATGCTAGGATTACAGGCAAGAGCCACCTCACCCAGCCATGTTATGTATATCTTATTACATTTTTTTAAGACAGAATCTCACTCTGTTCCCTAGGCTAGAGTCCCATGGCCTTGGCCTTGCTCACAGCAACCTCAAACTTCTGGATTCGAGTGATCCTCCTGCCTCAGCCTCCTGAGTAGCTGGGACTACAGGCACCCACCATGATGCCCAGCTAATTTTTCTATTTTTAGTAGAGATGAGAGAGGATACCCAGGAAGGGTGAGGTCTAAGAGAACAGAGGTCTTCTCAAAGAGACCCGAAGGATACACTTTCGAGGTCCTCCCCATGGTGACTCAGCTGTTAGGAACTTGTGGACTTAACTTTCTGGGACCTGGAAAGTTCCGCTTCTGTGAAATCCTGTAGTTCCGTGAGGTCTGGAGCAGCTTCTCCGGCCTGATTCAAACTCACCAATGAGAAAGGTACCTGCGGCTTGGAACTTTTTGACTGGAGATAAAAACATAAAGACAGAGCCAGTTGGAGAGTGGGGCCATTTTGAAATTTTTATAGATTTGCCCTAGCTCCACTGACTGAATAAAGCCTTTTCCCTCTTAAATACAGTCTTAGAGTGTTCATTCTCTCCATTGGGCCTCATATTCCCATAATAGAGACAGGGTCTCATTGTTACTCAGGCTCCTCTTGAACTCTTGAGCTCAAGTTATCCTCCCACCTTGGCCTCCCAGAGTACTAGGATTATAAGTGTGAGCCACCTTGTCCAGCTGTTTTATTACAATTAAAAAAATGATAATAAAGACAAGCCCCAAGCCTTGGTCTTTTATTAAATTGTTCTTATAAATACTTCATTCCTTGGGCCATTTATGGAGGCAATTTGGTGAAACTACCACTCTCTCCAAACCTGCTCATAAAGTACATTAAATCTTACAACTTTGGGCTCGGCGCCTGTGGCTCAAGC